CCTGTTCTCCACCTGGACACAAGGACCATCTATAGAGTAGACAAATCAATTGTCTGAGAACATATTCTGAGGGTGAAATCACTGACTTGGTGATGATCTGCACACATGCAAAGGGCCTTCCAAAACTTTGTGGAACTCGGGTAAGGAACTAACAGGTAACTCAGATCTGCAGCATTGCCTCTGGAACAAAATCCCTGGGGCAAAGCAGGACAGCTTGTCTTTTTTTGCCCTTCTATGGGAGAATAAGGATCATGGGGAGATTTTTTTCCTTCTGTTTTAAGCAGAAGGAGTTTAACATGCATTCTCCACAGAAACTGGCAGCTGGAAACCAGACCTAGAATTCCATTTTCAGCAATAAAGCTGGAAGCAAAAGCTGCCCTAGCTAGGCTGCCTGCAGAAGGTCACAGTAGCAAGAGATGGGTCAGGCAATCAAGAAGGAAAACAAGTTCCTCCATCCCTGTTGCACAAAAGGCAGAGAAGAAGGACAGCAGTTTAATGAAACCAGAAACAAAACAGTTCTTGTGGGAGAACAGTCTCACAGGTTTTCCATGGTAATCTGTAGTTCAAAATAGACATAAAAGTTTTCACAACTCCTCAAATACTGAGTATTGATAATGATTAGTTAAGGGGACTTGGTGCATTTAGGGTGTGCAAGTCCCTCTTAGTTCTACTGAAGGGAGATGGGTTCAGAGAATAAAGTAGTAATTTCTCTCCCCATAAAACATAGAAATAAATGCAGAGACCCAACTTTTCTGAAAAGAGGCGCACAGAGATTGAGCAGCCACCTCAAATGTCCACACACTATGCTCAGTAACTTCTAGGAAAAACTTATTTATCTACTTATGACCTTTAAAAGGAATAATCTGGACAAAAGCAATGACAGCATTGTCTTTAGTACGCTTACAACCCTCTGTCACAGAGCTCAGCACTGAACTGTGCCAACAGGGCAGAGGGATGTGGGCGCAGCTGGTTTCAGTCTCTGGAGCAAGGAGTGTCTTTGGTTTGTTCCTGTGCATTACCTGGAATTTTTCTGGGAGACACAGACACAAACCAGACACTTCTCCCCATAGCAGAAGTGATCTTTCAAAGAGCTGGGGAGAAGAACTAATCAAACCTGACTTGGAAAATAATCAAGATCTTAATACAGCTACATGTGAGAAACAGTGTACCCCTTCTTTGCAACAGCACCACATGGAAAAACTTCCATGCCAGGAGCGTGAGATGACAGGAGCACAGGAATTTCTGGAGAGTAAAAATATCTCAACTGCTATGTACAGAAATCATCTTGTAAGGAAGGATTTTCAGGTACCACCCTTTCAAACCCTGAGATGGGGATGAATGGCCAGGCCTGAGAAGGAGCAGGATGGTCATTTGTGGCCATCAGAAGAAGGGGTACTGCTAAAAATCCAGTTTTTATTTCCCCTTTTGGACCCACTTTTCAGCTTGGAAAGAAATGGAAGGAGATGCATGTTGGAACTTGCTTCTCTCAGCAGAAGATCTCAAAAGGTGGAAAAACGAGCTCTTAACTAGAGAGGTGAAGAAATCTCCTCAGGACATCATGAAGAAACACAAACCATTCTACACTGAAGACTGAATTTTGCCTCAGACCATCCATGTACATGATTTCTCACAAGACTTCAAAGCGTGCAGAAGTTTTCCTCCAGGAAAAAGTAAAGTAACAGGTACCCAGAAAAAAATCACAGGGATTTTTCTGCTTAAATGAAGCTATTCCTACTGAAACGCCTGCGGTATTAACAGGCTGGATAAGCAAGCAACAGTTTTCTTTCCTGAGTCACCTGAAAAAATTTCCAATTCTACATGATAGATCTTAAATCTTCCAGGCCAGGAGCTATCTCCCTGATCCGGCACATGCACATTCATGACATGCATATTTTCAAGCCTAAAAAAGTGATAAAAATGTACCTAATCAGTTCAGAACCTTGTTCATTCAGAAGGAAACATATCCAGTGGCAAATCTTGACAGAATATAAACATAAAATCCATTTTAAATATGGGGGAGCTGCAAATACTTAAATTCAGGATCAGCATGGAAAATCTCCTTTATAAATCCAGAATAGGGCTTTACTTTTCTATTTAGTGGATTTTAGTAAGATGAGCATTGTAGTGCTGGAAGCAACAACGCACTGTCTGAGGGGGGAGAGAAATCAAACAGCATTAATCTTGCAATTACAGTTCAGATAATGTAAAGCTTGTAAGTAAACTTGAAGAAACTCAGTCTTTCTGTGTATTCATTTTGTGAGTCAACCTGTGTGTTCCTGCCTGACTCGCAGCTATGCTGAGTGAGGCAGCAATATTTCCAAATCATTAAATCATCTGCAAGTGCTTTCCTCCTCCATCAGGCATTCCTAAGCCTTTCTCTCTCCACAAAAGCAAAGACAAGATTATTTCCTCTCCAAACACAGCCCACTCAGCTACAGCTGCCATGTCTGCAGCAGCCAGACCATGCACCCCTTCAGCAGGAATGGTTTTTCTTAGGTCAAGTGGAACACATGCCTAATAAAAAATTCTGAATTGCTCGTATGAATTAATAAACAAGCCTTCTGTGCTGTTTTGTACGTACAATAACAGTTTTCACATACAACAGCACAGCTACAAATGCTCTACTACTTGACCTGCAATGTAGCAGCAGAGTTTTGATTTACCAGCCCTGGCAGGAGGAGGAATCCAGCAGCAGCTTCTGATGGTGGGATTTTGACCTCTCCACAGTCCATGGTAAGACACTGTGTGGATCAGGATTTCACTCACTACATGTTCATCCTCCTCTGCTGTGAGATCTGCTTGGCTATATCCCAACACCATTGTCTTGTTCTTTGACATGAACTTACAATGCTACCTTAAAATACCAGACACAGAAACCATGATGAAGACTGTCCTAAGCAAAACCTAAGTGATACCAAGGAGCATTGTGAATCTTGTGAGGGACTAAATGAATTTATCCCAGCTGTGACAAAAACAATGCAAAGCTCTTCGTGCCACCTTAAAATATCAAGAGAACGGGTTTTACAAACATCAGACACATTAATTTCTGAAATAAATCAAACTGCTTCTAAATTAAGTGTTCATCCTGTCTTGATGTGCAAATAGATTCATACCATGATTTTATCTTTTCTTCATGAAGCATGACTATACACAGTAAGTTAAATATTCAATCACACAATTGTAGGACACACCGAACTTGCATTTTCTCACTTTTCTTGAATTATGACAATACACATCATAAATGAGCAATAAGGCCACGTAATATTCCAAGGCCTGTAGAAATTAGAAATGTTAATAGAACATGCTAAAGGAGCTTTCTAACTACTTTGATTCACCTACTCAAATTCCTAGTATACCTCTAAGTTTAGACTCAATAGTGAACTTACTGATCAGTTGAACTCTCCTCAGCTTAAAGGTTTGTGGACTCCTTTTAGACTCCAAATACTTTTTCACTGAAAATTTCCTCTTGCTGATCATTCTGTTTCACAATTTTGTTTCACAACAATATTTACATTTTTCAGATTTTTGGCTTTTGTTACATACACTTCATTTTGAGAACAAAATGTCCCCCACTGAAGTCAACTGCTGTGTTTTGGATCTGCCCAGATTTAAATCTCTAAAGTCATTCCTCACGGCCTTACACTATTCCCGTAAAACAACTGCTCCTTCAGTGGAATTAAACCTTCGTCTAATAACAAGGAACCAAAATATTAAGTAGCTAATACAAATAGCTAAGTCTTTTCTTTTTCCAATAGAAATCTTTTTATTTACAACAGATTAGGACAAAATGACCACAACTATTGTGTTTGCAAGAGATACCTCATTTTTAATTTGAGGAATGTGTCTTACTCAGTTGGCTGACCTTAACAACTCTGTGAGTACAAAATGTCCTTAAACTTTGTTCCTCTCTCTGATAATTATGTCTTTCATTAATTATGTTTAGTGGTCAGCATAGCCTGGACATGACTGTGCAGCATTGTCCGAGCTCCTTAACCAGTCACCCTCACAATTTAACCACCACTACAGGGTGTTAAAGAGACATTGGTGAAAGATGCTGGACATCTCTGACTGTACTGATGGTGCTTCCAGAGTCTAAGGTGTTGTTTACTGCAAATAAACAACAGGGCAAGATCACCATTAGCTCACACATTGTAGGATGCCAAGCCATTACCAGAATTTGACAACAGAAAATGGAAAATGGTCACTTTGCTGATTCATTTCTGTTGTTCCCAATCTGTGTTTACAAGACACTGGGATAGGGTAGTCTAATGCAGTTTTATCCGTAGAAATATTTTTTGGCAGTAACTAGACACTATTTATGAGGCAGACATGGAAAAGACTCAAGGAAAGAGGTTTCACAGTTGTATTGTGAAAACTACTCTCACTCAAGACTCCCCTGCTGTGTTTTGAATGAAGTCTCAAAGGCAGCAAAACTGTCATGAAACTTCTGTCCTCTATTCCTCCTGTTGCCTTCGACCAGCTGATTTTGCATTTCACTTATTCTGTGTTGCTTGATTGTTTATTAGGGTGAAAAATCTCCAGGTTATAAAAGCATATGACCCCCCCAGTTTCAGCCAGGGTAGTCCTGACAGAAGGCAGAGATCAATTCCATCTACAGAACAGTCTCTTCCTTAGCACTGAAAGAGCACAGATATTTGGGCAGGTCACATCCATGCTTCTATCTGCCCTGTGTCTTTGTGGCCAATCTCATGTGTCCATGGCATGGGGGACAGAAGGCCACTCTTTATTCTGCATTTAACACTTGGGACAGAACCTTGATCTCTGAGACAGCTTCCAGGAGTCCCCCATATCCTGCTGGCAATTAAAGAATTAGGAATTCCTAATTCTAAGGAGAAATTAGAAAAATTTCACTCACTAGAAAACTGAGTGTTAGAAATTAACAACACCTGTGTTTCTGAGCCACTGCAGTGCAGAAATACTTCTTTATTGTATTTACACATGCAATTAATGTAGCCATGGTAAAGACACACAAAACTTACATAGTCATGAAAGGCTTTTGCTTCACTCGAGTGTTCACATGTTTCTCGTCTTTCTGGAGCTGCACAGTAGAGATCCCAGAACACACTGCAAGGGAAGAGGTTACAGGGATGATGAGAGTGTCACTGCTCATCTGGATTTTATGTTATACACACACCCCACATGGATGTTCCCATGCAGAAATGTCACTTTCTCTCCAAAGAATGGGAACACTCACCTCTAAGGAAGAATTTGGATTTGTGGTTCATCTGTGAGGAACCAAGCCCTGCCATCTGATTTCTGAGGCAAGCAGTGCTGTATTCCTTTAACACCACTGCACTACAGACCAAGAATCTGGTCTAATATATATGAATACAGTGTGTGTTACTGTTCATTTAATCTTACCCCTCCAGCAACTGCTCAAACGACTTCCACAAAGCATGGGAAGGAATGGATTTGTAATAAAAGGGAAAGGGAAGAAACTGGAGAGAAAACTGGGAATCCTTCCATGGTCAGGGTTCCTGGAATCACAGAACAATTTGGATTGGAAGGATTTTAGAGCCCATCCAGTCTCCACCACCTTCCACCATCCCAGGTTACTCCGAGCCCCATCCAGCCTGGCCTTGGACACTTCCAGGGATGAGGCAGCCACAGCTTCTGTGCACAAATGTCCAGTCCTGTGCTCACACCAAAGCTCCCTGAGGATCTGGTGCCCAGGCAAGCACAAAAAATGCATGGGCATGTTCTTAAGTCATAAAGAATAAAAGGAAGGCTATTATGGCACATAATCCCATTGGTCTTCCCCCACAAACTCCTTCAACTGTAGTTACATACCAATCAGTTCTACCACAAAGTTTCTGGAATGAAACTGTGTCTATGCTAGAATGACTTAATAATATATTTGATAATAAAATTTGTTGGAGCTTCATAGCGGTTTTTTACTGATTTAGACTTAATCCTCTATAACTTAATCCAGCACCATGATATGGATGTATGGACAATTTGAGCACTCTGCTGCAGACAATCAAAATTACGGATAATGCAGACATTAGAGATAAAAGGGACATGTTCTTGCCAGGCTTCCATCAGACAGCAGAAGCTGTGAAAGGATGGTCAAAGAAGGATACTCCACTTCCCAGGCAGCTGTGCAAATCACCTGGGTTCAAATGGAACCATTTCAAAACCTGTGAATTCTTGTACTACTGACAGCTGGGCATATTCTCTGCACTTCTGCATTTCTTCAAACACAGGCTTGTTGGATATACTAAAATAATGAATAAATAGCTCGGCTGCACAGCAGTGCCTCTGAGCACTCTTCTCCCCTGGGGAATTCTACACACACAGCTATGGACTGCAGACTGAGCAAGCTCACATCTACACACAGTCTCTGTATTTGCTGTGTTTTCTTTCCAAATGCAAGTATTTATTATATGTAGAATGACCCCTTAGCTGCAAAATGTGCTGGAAGTTGGTGAAGAAGGAAAGCCAGGCCACCTCCTTTCTTATCAATATACTATGCACTATTTCTTTTTTCTGTATCCACTATCCAGTATCTTTTGCTATTATTTCCTTTTCTGTATCTAATTTTCTGTTATTTTATTCCTTAACAAGAGAATGCTTCTTAATCCTGATCCTCTCACTCTTTTCACAGTGTTCACCTGAATTTCTTGCCTCCAGCAGCTGGAACTGGACATCAGCCACTTCTAAGAAAATCAGAGGAGAAGAAAACTGGTACTTACCACCACCAGGAATGCAAGAATCCTGGGGGCTCCCCCAGTGTGATGTTTTTTTCCCATCTTATCTAAAATAAAATGATAAAAACAAAGGTGTACATTCTTGTGGTCATTGTGACTAAAAAGCATTACATAATTCAGATAGAAAAAGGATGAGGAAGAGAAGATTTCACAGTTATGAGATGCTTTATGGTCTTTAATTTGGATGCCCTATTTACTTATTTTGCTACATTCAATGATATAGCTGCTACTTAAAATTACCTCCTTTTATGCTGGGGAAGCATAGTTTAGAATTTTATTCTTTGGCTTGTTTTTTTTAATTCTGAATATATTGTGTGCTATTTTAAGGTCAAAAATGCACGATTAAAAAAGTGATTATTAAGTACCCTTAAAACTGAAATCTTTTCCCATTTGCACAGGACTGATGCTGTGGATTCAGCAGGTGGCACTCTTCCCCCCGCAGCCAGGGCCAGCAGTGTTTTGTAATCCTCAAGGAGTGCTTCAGTCACAGGTAACGTGGCAAAAGTGAGGCAGCGCCACTGCCATAACCCAGCTCCCACCAGCCAGGGGAAATGTGCAGCTCCTCTGGATTGCTCTCCTGTGCTGGCAAGCTCTCCTCAACACCTGTACTGCCTGGGACTTCCTTCCCACCAAGGAAACTGGGTCTGTTTGATGCTGTTTTCAAAGGAAGTGCAGTTTAAGAACTCCTGAATTCAAACTTTTGTTGTCGATCAGGGAACACATTAGACAACACCAATCACAGCATCTGTCTCTCTGCAAAACTTCCCAAATGTTGTGCCTTGGCTGAAATCACACAACCACCTTTTCAATGCCTGTTGGTAGCTTGTGCTTAACTCCAAAATTAAATAGTTTGGGCTGTCACAAAGCCCACACAACACTGTCCAGAAGAATGTCTCATGTTAGAACTTGGTGGATGTTTGGTGCACATTTTGCATTGTGTGCATTGCAAACTCCTCTAGTGACAATGACACACAGCATAATTTCCTGTCCAACTCTCTTACAAAAGGAGTTGTTAAAAGCACAAACCATATTCTTCTCTAGAGACAGAAACAATGGCAGACAAGATGAGGGTTATTTTATTAAAATGCTTAAACAGGCTTAATATGAAAGGAATTTTAAGTGACAGATCCATATACATATATGTAAAAGTACATAAAAGCATAATATTAAAGGTAGATATAGTTTCATACTGTCATGGTCCTTCCTAAAGCTGGCATATTCCAAAGAGACTTAAGATTCTCAACTCACACTTGATTTTCACATCAAATTCTTAGGAAATTTAAACACATAAAAGTTTTTGTCAATAGCAGAATATGTAGCTCGCATGCCTAAAAATATTGTTTGGACTTACATGAAAATCCATTTAGAAAATCTCAAATATGAAGAAACCTAATGCAATTTTGATATATTATATGAACACAACTTTTCAAAAACAATTATGCTATTTTAAATTGTCTATAAAAGATAACATTGAGCCACTGCCACTTGAGTTGGTAAAGGTGGCAGAATGAAAACCAACATCCCTCGCACAGTAGTTAATACACAAAAAACATATTTCACAAAGTTCCTGAAGTGCTTAAGTGCTTAAAGTTCCTTAAGTGCTGGCAGGAAAAACTGATGAACATTTGAAAGGCAAAGGCACTACAAAGGTATTACACACTCTTCAAACACACTTCTCTGAGGCACAGCTGCTCCTCATGCGCCCTGGGAATGTCTTGGAAAGACTTGTATTAATAATCAGGAACACACAGTACCTCTGAGAAGGTTCAAAATCACATAATGAAGAGATGCACTGTACAACCAGAACGAAAAAAGGGGTTCCTGAAGCAGAAATACCATTCCCTTAGGAGCAAAAATTATGTCTGTGAAGAACACCCACATTATGTTTAAGCAGTAATTGTTTTCTTCAAAGCAGGGCCTGGTGAGAAAATTATCCAGTTCAGGTCTTTTTGGGTGCTGGGACATATGTTATCTTGAGAAACTGATTGGAAGAAGGAGACTGAAGGAAATGTGGAAGTTTCGGACTCTTTTCAAGAATTTTTGTTTTGGTTTTTTTTTTACATATCCATACTTGTGTCTAACACAGCAGATGTGGTCTGTCTGATCAATGGGACTTATGAAGAATTATTATTTATAGAAAAAAAAAATATTCATTGTCAAGTGTACTGGTTAAGCTCATAGCCAGGGAATGATTAACTGTGAAATACCCACCAACCTGGCCCACCCAGGCTACTGGAATTATCCAAGGCTGGAATCTGACTTCCAGGTTAGAAAATAGGTGGGATAAGGATCAGGTCTTCAAGGGAAGCATACAAAAGTCAAACCAGACACAAAGAATGCCAAAAACATGGGGATGCTCAGGACAACCATCCCCAAGTTAGAGTATCACAGTGGATTCATGGATATCCCACTTCTATTTTCCTTTAATTTGGTTCCATTCCTCTGAGTCACAGCCCCTGGCAGATCTGTGAGAGAGGGATCTCAACCTTTAGACTCCACTGGCTGCCCTACAGCTCAGAAAATCTGTGTGGGCTCTTCTTTAAAGCCCCAACACTCAGCTTTAGAGATACTCCCAACTGTTTAACTTTAAAATGAAACCCACCCAAACTGAGAGAGCATCCAGCCCAGCAGTCACAGAACCATTCACAAGACCTGTCAGCACATTTACCCTCCTGCACTGCTAATTAGTGAGGGAAATAAACTCACAGCTGGTACCTCATACCCACTCTATGCACTACTAATTGTCCCTGACCTGTGTTTACCATTTCTTGATGAGTGCAAGTCTTAATTTTGAAGATTTGATGTATCCTTAGGTTTCATTGTTCAGACCTGAGAGTGTCTCTGCAACTCAAGACTGAATTAGTTTTAAAAGCTGAGTTTTAAGACACTGTATTTAATATTTTCAGGAAATTCAGATGTCATACCAGCTATGCTTCTGCCAACTGTTCATATTGCAAAAACATCATAAAAACAAAGTGAGCAAAATTTACCTTGTGCAATGCATTATTTACAAATGACAGCTGTTTTGGGAAAGCCAAGACGATACTTTACATTATTTTCTCTTATTTTACCAATGTTTTACTAAAGAGATAAAACAATTGTCAAAACCACCCTTATTATAAACGTAAACTGATCATGCTACAATTCTACCCTTTTTCCTTATCTCTGCTTTGTCAGTTTTGTGCAAACATCACAAACAACCCTCTGGATTTTCATTTTCCCCTCTTCCATCTTCAAAATGTCATCACCAGCATAATAATTTTATTTGCTTTTGAAGGAGGATCAGTTAAAGCAGCAAATTTTCCTAGGAAAATATCTCGTCTATTTTTTCCCAACTTCTGCTCAGTCTTCCTATTATTACTACTATTACTACACTATTGTTATTATTATTAGTTACTTTTATTGTTGTTGTTATTATTATCTTGTATGTTCTTGTCAAAGATTAAAAACAATAATAAACCCAGAAAACTTCAATGTGTTCAGCATACATTTGTATCCTAGGGTAAAAGTAAAATGCTTAGGAGACACAATTTACCTCAACCTTCACAAGATGCATAAAAAGTCTTTGAAAAGACTCTTAAAAAAGCCCAAAACTACTGTGTAAAGGTAAAAATTCCATTAGCCATTGAAAGTGTTTAAAAAAGCAGGACCTAAGTGGTTGTGGCTGTCATTGATTCAACACATGAAAAGAAGTGAAGTGGTTAAAAGCATGGTGAGAGCACAGAGAGATCAGCAGTGCTTCAGAGAAGGAGAATTGATAGTGTATGACAGTGGGATGTAAAATACATTTAGAAGGGCCCATCATTCACAATTGGAGATATCAATAGTAAGTTAAAAGGTCATCAAAACTGAGTACCATTGAAGGGTTCTCCAGCATGCCCACTTATTAGAGAAAATAGATTAATCTTCCCCAGTGTAGAATGGGGATTACAAACCACAGCAAAAATAGTTACAGGAGATCATGTAAAATGACATGACAAACTGGGTTACAGAGGATGAGGAACAGTGGACTGAGGCAAACTGATACCCAAGGTATCAGTATCTCTCTGCTCTTCCTCTAGACCAAATCATATTTATTTCACTTGCAGGCCCTCGGAAGTCATGTAAAAAACTCACCTCTGATAAAAATGTCTGGGCTGATTTCTGTGCTCCTACATGGAGCAGATATTCATATACGTACAGTGCTAATCTGAAAAATAAACAGAAAGGACAATATTTAGTATTGTGCATTTGTTTGCTCCTCTTCTTCAGAAATAAAGGATTATCACAAGTTTGAGATACGCCCCACTGCCTTCCACAAACCACAAGGTACTGAACGTGCCAAATCTATTACCTCTACCAGAATTTTTCAACTAGACATGCAGGTCAATCTGACCAGAGGTGTTTAAATAGTCATTAATTAAAACATTATTAAGACCCCAAATTACTTAATGTCAACATTTTTAATATTTGGACAAGTGCCTAGTGAGCTAACAAGGGACCCAGTGCTGCTCTGAGTGAGCATGCTTACTGTAAATACAATATTTTCATACAGTGTCACTGATTGCTTTTCCAGGTCAACTTTTTTAGCATGTGGAATGTGTCAAGCTGTTAGCACTCTTGAAAAATAGCCCTGTGGTTTTTCCAAAGAACATGGAAACTTCAGGCTGCATCAGGAGAAGCGATGGCAGCCTCGATGTATGGCATGGCTGAACAACCACAGCTCTGCAGCGAAGGGAAAACAGATCCTGAAATTCATCCAGACCTGGGCTCTGGTGGCAGCAGAGCTACAAATGACTGCCACAGCTCCAGCTGACTCCCCAGAGCCTCCTGTCTGTCTGTCTGTCTGCAAGCCTCTAGGCTGTCCAGGAGGAAAAGAAAGAGGAAGAGGGGGAAGAGAAGGAGGAGGAGAAGGAGGAGGAGAAGTAGGAGAAGGAGGAGAAGGAGGAGAAGGAGGAGGTCTTTTATATTTGCTACCTATTTCTAAGAAGTTAAATTTATTTGAATGCACCTCATGATACATGGCTATTCTTATTAGAAACATTCTCCCTCTTCATTTTCAAAAACCTGTAGATAGCTACACAAAGAAGAGAGGGAGAGGCTCTGCTTTCCTGCTCAAAACCATGTTCTGTGTGATCACTGTCATCATGGCTCTGCTAGAGCAGTAATTATAGCAGTGACCTAACAAGTGTGAAATTTTAAAATCTCAGAGAGGCCTTCCCCAAAAATGGTTTTCACTAGTTGTGAAATGGTTTCACTAGTTGTTTGTAAGACATTCACATATTACTTTACTCTCTGTCCAACCTCAAAAGAAAAGATGTACTTTTTCCCTCAAATTAAATATATATAATTCAAACATGTGACTAGTTTTAGTTTGAACTCTCTAAGTACTGTGGGGAGAGAAGATCTCTTAAGAGTTGACTTAATTCTTCCCATTTCAACTACCATGCAAATTTTAACCAAGAAATGTTGTAGACTAAATCTAAGACAGATGTAAGAGACAGAGAAGAAATGCTTTTCTGCCAATACATCCTGAATACCCAGTAACGCTTTTTTTTTTTTTTAAAGCACCTCATTTGTCTTATGAGAGTCCCTTTTTTGTTCTTATCCAAACATGAAGCCTGCGGTCCAGATAAAAGGGTTTGTGTGATCACATCCTTCCTGCCCCGTGAAGGAAGGCGGAGCAGCACAAACCCCGGGTTTGCTGCGGGGAGTTTCAGCACCCCCACGGCTCTGACACCGACTGAAAGCTTTGGCACACAGGGCATCTTGATGCCCACACTGACAGCACAAGGCTTTAATGCCCAGAGAGGTCTGTGCCTCCTCTCAGGACTCTGGGGTGCCTGCAGAGTGCTCCAGCACAGCCCAACATCCCTGCCTGTCCCCACTGCCTCTGCTCCAAAAACACAAGACATTTCAACACTGCAACAACAAGACAACCCTAAAACTTTTGACCTAAACACACAGAATGTGCTAATTAAGCACGATGCTAACTGTTACCATCTCCAGCTTTGTGTAAATGCTGTTACCTCTTGGGCTAAACAAACCAGCAGTGCAATGAAATTGTGTTTCATGCGTGTGTGGAGGGTAAAAGTGGCAGATTTCAGTAGAAGGCTTTAGGCTTGCAGGTTGGTCCAGCTGTGGTAAACCCCAGATTGCCAAGGGCTGTGCCAGGAGAGCTGGGACCACCTCCCACCAACAGATACAGGACAGGAGCACAGCACAGAATAATCCCACAGGGTCTCTATGGCTGCCCCAGCCCTTGTTATTGTGCTCTCAGGAAGCCTCTACAGAATGTAACAATGTTATGGGTTCATTCGGAAATAAATGTAAACAGAAATCAAAAGAGGGATACTAAGGTTTCGCTGTGTCACAGCGAAGGATCAATGGGAAACTGATGCTCTGGGGAAAGACGGCAGAGACGCCCAAAAAGGTGCAACACTGTGTAATAAGGAGAAATACCAAATATACAAACTGTAACGACAGGCGAGGAACAGAAAAGACAAAAACCAAGCTACAGTTCAAGTGTGTAAAATGAAGAAATTAATGAACAATTTCACATCCTGTCACAAGACTCAGAAAGTATTAGTGAGGTGGTCTTCAACACCAGAAGACTTGGGTTTGAAGTGACATTTTAAAAAGACAGTTTTTACTCATTAAACTGGTGTGAGAAACCGTGCAGAAGCAGCAAGCAGACATATGTTGAATTTTCACATTTGCATACTTGTTGACATCCCATGAGTAATGTGAGGAAAAAATATTTCCAATCAATTTATGACAATGCTGCAGTAATTTCTGCTAAAGACATGACACAGGCCAGAGCTCCCCCCTCCCTGCCAAGACAATTAGAGCACACATTCATCTGTACCCTGATGATACATTCACTCCATTAACAAACAAAAAAGGTTACTGCCTGACTCATGCTGCTAACCTGGTGCACTTTGCCTGAAGTTCCTGCTCTAATTGGACAAGGCATTCCTACATCCCACAAGCAGCTACTGAATTCCACAGAAAAGAGCCATTTAAGTGGTTCAAGTCAAGCATTTATCAGAATACTACCAGGAAATAAACAGTAATTCCTCTAACTGTGCAGTGGAAATTACATTCCTACATTTTAAAGATGGGGAGACGCAATTAGCTTAATGAGAACTTACAACTCAAGCCTTGCAGCACTATTTCCATTGGTGGAAACGTGGTGAACTCACCCAATTCCAAACCAAAAGACTAAGACTGCACATCACACAAGTGTTCCCACCACCTCCTCCGTCACCAAGAGCCATTATGCTGCTAACATCTGACGCTGGATGTAAAAAAAAATAAAGTATCTATAATGGGCATGTTCCAGATATGAGCATCACCAAGATACATTTATAGCACTTTTAGATTGTTCAGACGCAATTTTTTGAAAACTCTTCCTCTATGGAGAGTTTAGCATATGGCACACCATCCATTTAACTTTTGGTGCGTTCAAAACAGTAATTAAAGAACTAGAAAATCAATATCCATACATAATTGTAAGTTTGAGTGAAGCAGCTGAGCAAGAATGAAAAGCAACTTCATAGAAGAGATCTTAAATGTTACTCTCCATGTTTCAGAAGACCTCATGTATTCCCAAATTACTAGTCTGCACAGAGAAGTAGCTTTTCTGCTGTTTTCAAGACTGTCTATAGGCTGCAGTTCAAATCCATGTTTCATTTCAAATCCTAGGAATCTCACTCATCTCACATCCAAATTACAAATCCCATTCTGTAAAACATGAGCAAGTTGCACTGAATCTTAGCACATGTTTTAGGCAGAGGTTTTCTGAACAAATTTCCTTGAATCCACTAATTCAGTACTTCAAAACCTGCTCCAAAGCTCCTGAAGGTGACTGGTTTTACCAAGTTTCAACAAACACCGGTAAACAATTTTTCTAAGGAAGTTTATTTAATATGCCAAACCATTATTTTTTGGCCCACTTGGTCATACTGGCAGTAATTTTTTGCCCCTTTTCTCCCCCCCAAAAATAAAATATTTAAAATATGTATATGGTAATATAATATGTACATTATAATATAATTTGTTTGTAAGTATTTATTTCTTATATATTTTTTATATAGATATATATACACATATGTGTGTATATATATACACACGCATATATATATATAAATTAAATATATATATATGTATGTGTGTGCATATATATACATATATATATATATGTAAATAATATTTTTCCACTCATCTCACCTGAAATTTATGTGATTCAGTCTCACCACCTACCTGAGAGAGGACTGGACAAGAGACCAGATAAGCCATGGCTTTGGATCAAATTCAAGCACTACATGAGAATTCCATCAAACCTTTTCCCTGTGCTCAGGCAGCCCCATGATGGGCCTGGAGGCTGCGGGGATGTCCCTGCACAGCCCAGCACAAGCAGCAACCCCAGGAGATTTTGGGCTGCTCAGCCTGAGGCAGCAGGCTGCCCTTGCCAAGAGGCTCCACTTAGGCCACTCTGCTGCTCCCTGTCACAGCTCAAGACTGATCTGTGTCACTGTGACTGCCCTGAGTGCCATCAGCAGCCTGAGTGGTGCTCTAGGAACACACAGGTGTTGAATGGAACACAAGCACTGCTCAAGGAAACAGTCCTGGGGTATATCCTTGATACTTTCTTGGCACTGGAGGGTCCTGAGAGCTCCTGCACTGCCCTGCAAACACAGCCAGTGTCAAATGTATACACACAGGTATTTCTCCCTCTCTCTGCACACAGAAAATACTTTCCTTGCATTCATCAAAGCAATGCCCAGTGCTGTGAGGAATGGGGGCCTTAGATGAGCCTGGTGGTGTTTCCCAAATAAACGGATCCTTCTCCTTGTTCACCCCAGGCTGACAGATCACATGCAGCAACAATAAATGTGGTGAGCTTGCTGGGGTTGTGGCTGTGTTCCAGACCAGCCATGGCACCAGAAGCTTTGTAAGTGGACAACTTTTCAAATTTATTTAATGCAGAGCATCTGGAATTGCGTGAAGATAGAAAAGTTGGGGAATAATTTAACACGTTGTCGAAGAGTTGTGGAGAATATTTTTAAAGGAAACTATTGATTAAATTATTAACCTCCCTTGCCTCTAATACACAGGTCCTTGAAATTGCTCCAAGCCCCATCCAGGGACAGGAAAAGAAAGGAAAAGCCTTCACCCAGCACAGCTCTCTGCCAGCAGGCAGACCTA